GCCCAAAAGTAGCATTTCTTACCTTAATATAAATGGAAACTAAAGAATTAATAAACTCAAGCTCCAATTTATTCTCATATCTCATCAATTTGAAAATTTTAACCACAAATTAAAACCTTAAAGATTTAACATAATATTCCTCTACTCCTAGAAAAAAAATAAAGAAAATGAAAATCAAGATCAAGCTTTGACAACCACTTTACCTTCTTCTCCTTTCTTCCTCTTTTTCTTTCTCTTTTTTTATCCTTTCCTTTTCCCTTTCTTTCTTCTCTTTTCTGGGTTTCTTTCTTCTCTGCCTATTCCCTGGTGCATGTGTGTAATTTGAATGAGAAGTGAAAGAATTAACTCTACAATTGCCACTTGTTTTCCACTAACACTTATTTTACATGTCAAGTCCTTTAACCATAACATAAAACCCATTAAATCCTTATTTTTCACTACTTAAAAAGTGAGTCCCTAACATTTAAATGATTTTCATCTTAAACCTTCAAATATTTTATCCATCGTAAAATAAGTCTCAAGAAAATAATTTATTCCATATAAGTCCTTATTTGACTATTACTTTAACTAGTCGAACCTTGACTTTGAAATAAAATCTTGACTTTTGACTTGTAGGAAATGGGCTGTAACATTCACCCCCCTCTAGGTATTATTAGGATCGAACTGTGTAACTTTCAATTGGTATTAGAGCCTTAATTCGATTCCTGACCCTTTATGACATCTAGATGAATCAGTCATTATTTGTGCCTCCGTTTTTCGACGGAAGTAACTATGCCTACTGGAATTTTCGAATGAAAGCCATCTTTAAATATTTAGATGAATGTATTTGGATTAGTGTTCAAAATGGGTGGGCTCCACCTTCAATAACTATTGCTGGTGTAGTCACACTCATAGACATATCTCTGTGGACTAAAACTAATCTTGATGAATACAATTGGAACAGTAAAGCATTACATACTTTGTTCATGGTTGTATCTGCTGAAGAGTTTAGGAGTATGTCGATGTGTGAAACTGCTAAAGAAATTTGGGATATTCTAGAAACCACACATAAAGAAACTAAAACAATTAAGAACTCTAAACTGCAGATGTTAACCACTAGGTTTGAAGATATTAGGATGAAGTACGATGAATTGTTCGATGAATTCTATGCAAAGTGGAATGATATAGTTAACTCCAGCTTTAACTTAGGTGAAAGGATCCCCGAGACCAAAATTGTTAGAAAAGTCCTTAGATCCCTACTCGAGAGGTTTAGACCTGAGGTGATTACGATAGGAGAGAGCAAGGACCTAGACACAGTTAAAATTGAAAATCTCGTAAGATCACTTCAAACGTATGAACTCACTGTTTCTCAACCTAAAAATATTAAATTCATCGCCATGAACACCATTAGAAAATAGAAGAGAAAGTCCACTGATACTAAGACCCTTAGGGACGACGAAATTTCGTATTTCGTTAAAAAATTTCAGAAGGTGATGAGGAATAGAAGAATGCATCAGGAGCGAAATAGTGAAGTCCCTAGTAAATTTTCGAGAGGTTGACGTGAGAAAAACACCTCTAGAACTCCCATTAAGAAATTACAATCTGTCAAATGCTATGAGTGCAAGGGGTATGGTCACATTAGGAGTTAATATCCTAATTTAAAGAGGAGTTCGGGTATAGAACATCGTAAGGCTTTAGCCGTGACCATGAGTGATGAGGAGTCAAAGACAAGCTCTCAGAATGAGACATCTGGTAGTGAGGATGATAAAATATTCATGGCCTTCACCTCGATTCCTACAATCGAACCTGAAAGTCAAAGGGAAAAGACAGAAGCTGATCAACCTAATCGAACTTCTACATAAATCTAACAACTTCAATGGGGTGAGAGAATTTGACAATAATCGAGTTCCAAGTTCACATTCTCAAGAGCCTCATAATAGCTGGTCTCTAGCTGTGGTGGCTCTTACATGCATCGCAATTGCACTTCCCAACATTTCAAATGAAAATGCTAATCAGTTAGTGAGGTGTGTCGAGAAGGCCTTCCGTTCTTAAAACTTATGGAGAAAAGCCTGGACAAAAATGGGGCTTTAGCAATCATCAGAAATGCAGCAGATGTTGTGTGGGTAGGAGTTGATTTATATTGCAAGTGGCAAGATAAGGATCTCCGCAAAACAAGTCTTCAAGGCAGAACCTCCAAGGAAACATTAGAAAAGCTTTCCAATGAAGCTGAAAGGACCGTTAAGCAGTTCCTCGGAGAAATAAAAGATTTCCTAATGGATAACCCTCTAAATTGGCCAGTTAAGATTATAGTTGCTAACTCAATGTACCGGATCAGTTGAACTATTTTGCTGGCCAGGGGCAATAAGGAAATAGATGGGGGACCGTTTAACCATTTATCCATTATGATT